TCGGATAACCAATTATGTATGAAAAAATATATTAATTTATCCCGTGTTGAAATTTTTCTCCGTTGCGTGTCGCTTTGCGTTGAATTTTCGTCGATGTTAAGCCTAACGAAGACTATTGTATCGTTAAAAATTACTTTTTTATTTTGTACAAACAAAATAAATATATTGAAAAATATAAAAACAATAAAAAATTATACTTTAGAAGTTAATTTAGTATCAAAAACGTAAAATATTTGACTAGCCAAAGACATAGCCAAAGATTACAGTGCTACAACACTGGCGAAAATTTAAATTTGTCGACTGGAATTCCTTCGGATAACCGACATTTCGGATAACCAACCTTCAGATAAACGACGCTCTACTGTATATATATATTAATATTTAAATTTATTATAATAAAATACAATGTGTTATCATTTTTAATTAAAATGATAATTTATAAATTTAATTATGATGAATAATGGAATTGATTATTCAAATTCATGTATGATTTTACTGCAAAAATGTCAGTGTAAATTATTTATCAGAACTTCAAATTTTTAAAAGAAATTAGAAAGCTTCCATAAAATGGCATATTATAAATGTCATTTATGGTAGCTTTTTTCTAACCTTACACAAAAAAAGTACTTGCTTTAAATTTATAATTTCACATAAATTTATTTATTTTATATTTGTATTTTATTAAACTTTAATTCCATTTCTCTGCTCTGAACTGTCAATTTAATTGAAAACCAGAAATTTTGACAGAAAAATTGTATACATATGTTTCTATATTTATATTAGTACATTGCTATATACATAAATTTCAAACTGACTTTCAGAGTTGTTTTGCCTTATATCTGTGGCTATATTATGATTGCGGTTTATTTATCATTAATATTCTGATGATGATTGTTATATGCTGATCTGAAAACATTTTGAATTTTTGGATGAGTACATGGATGTAATAATGCATTTGTATATATTGTTTTACAGATTTTTCTAAACGCAAGTTTCTAAGCATAAAATTTACAATGATGTTGCAACACAAATGTTTGTAATAATAAACTATTCTAATAATTAAACAAATATAGTCGACAACTGTGTTTAAATTTGCCAGCCATTAATAGAAACTCAAAACTTTTTTTGTTTTCATATGTAGATAAATCAATTTATATGATATTAAAGATTATACTTTTGCTACAAAATTAAATTGAAAATGATTCTCTAAAAGGAATATTGATTCTTTACTTCACAGAATGGGTAAAACTTCAATGAAAGATACTTTATTTTATTTTTTTGTTTTAGAATTTCACAAAAGAAAGAATTTTTTCCTAAAAATTTCATTATGTAGTGCAGTGATTCTCAACTTTCTTTTTGTCATGGTACACTTTTAATAAATTTGGTGGCACACTAACAATAAGATAAATTTAAAAGAATTTTACTTGGTTAATTGAGGGATGTACAGTACCTATAATATATTTTGTAAAAATAGCATACGATGATAATTTTTAATGAAATATAAAATGAAATTGCATTACAAAATAAACAAAATGTTTATTTAATGATAAATTACAAATTAATTTAATGTGAAATTTGAGCTTGGTGTTTTTTGATAATTCATTTATATTAGGCATAAAAATAATAACGCTACTCTAATTTCGTGATCCAGATTTTCGTTTTTATGTTGGTCAAAGCTGAAAATCCGAATTCGCACAAATAAGACATGGAAAATTGTAATGACACACTTAAAGCTTTTTGTGATATTGTCAGATAATCGTATCTAAGATTAATCCAGAACAAATTGATTCTTCTGAATCAGTTATTACACACCAAAATTAGTTCTTCCTCTTTTTTCAGAATTAATTCATACACCAACATGTTGTTTATCACAAATGGATTTCGAATCCAATCAAATTTTTTTTAATTTTTAAATTTGGAAAGTAATGAACAATTCTTTGCTATGTATTGTCAAATTATCAATAACTATTTTATGAATTATTTTATAACAGTCTTTTGGAACTGATTCAAATTTTTGTAAACTATCTTCTTG